GTAGGAGGGTTGTTGTGGAATGAGTAGGCTCTCCCTCTCCTTTTTTCTCTCTCTTTCTCCCTCTCTATCATGTGTTGGAAATCCCTCCCTCCCTCTATCTCTCCTGTTGATCGGGGTGGTATAGTGTGGTCTCTCAGTGTGAGAGGTGCTCTCTACTATGCTTTTCACACACCAAGTAAGGCCTCTGTCACGCCTCCGAACATTCTCTCCCTACGTAGCCTTCAGACATAATCTGAAATGCTCTATGTATCACAGGCAGCATCAGGAGACTTCCATACAGAGCCTCCCTCCTTCAGCCATCTCATGGAACATTTTCAAGCTACCCTATCAAGGAACAGCACCATGTGCCAGTTGGCTTACTCCAGTGCCAACACAGAATTTTATAAGACACAAACATGAATTCCCTCACATTTATTCTCCATCCATATATTTGAGGAAGACCTCAAAAACATCCAAGGCAGAACACATTGGCGAGGAGTGGGACCGTGGCTAACCTGCTACTTGTTGACAATTGATTGATAGTACAGTTGTGGTCGCTAAGTGACAGACATTTGGTGGTCGTGTCGACATGGAGAAAACCACGTAGACACTTCAAGCAACTTTACCCTTAGTGACAGAGATTGCCTATAACACATTCAACCCTCGTCAACTCATGTCAACTCCAACCTATTTCAGTTGAATTCAAAGTAATTTCAGCTTAATACAACCCAAATCTGTATACTGACATGCCAAATATTCTATTCCATTTCCGGAGTGTACATGAGCACTATTTCAGTGGGGATTGAGGACAAATGTAATTATTCCCTATCGTTTTTCATCCCTCTCCTCTCATGTTGTTGTGTTATTCTCCCCGGTGCCTTGATAAACTGCAGGAACCCTCTTCTTCTATCTTGTCTCTGATCTCTCTGTCTTTGTTCCCTTGTTTCATTAATGGTGTCTGTCTCTCTGTTGTTCCTGCTCTATCTCTCAATCTGTCTCCTGTTCACGTGTGCGGGCACAAACACACACACACACACACACACACACACACACACACACACACACAGCTGGACGATATGGACAAATCCATATCGCGATAAATTGCCTGAATTGATGTGATAATGAAAAATGGAACATTAATGTGCACCGCAGTTTTTTGTAATTATTATATTTTAAACTACTACTGGTTTGATTATTGTAGCCAACAATTGTCCCATTAACAATCACCCATATTAGAAAACGTATTTCATTTCAAACTTCAAATTTCTGTAGTATAGGCTACATATTGTAATGAATGATATACAGTGCGTTCGGAAAGTATTCAGACCACTTGACTTTTTCCACGTTACAGCTTTATTCGAAAATTGAGTAAATATAATTTTTTTCTCATCAATTTACCCACAATACCTCATAATGACAAAGCGAAAACAGGTTTTTAGAATTGTTGCACATTTATAAAAAACATAAAACAAAAATACCTTATTTACAAAAGTATTCAGATCCTTTGCTATGAGACTCCAAATTGAGCTCATGTGTATCCTGTTTCCATTGATTATCCTTGAGATGTTTCTACAACTTGATTGGAGTCTACCTGTGGTAAATTCAATAGATTGGATATGATTTGGAAAGACACACACCTGTCTATATAAGGTCCCACAGTTGACAGTGCATATCAGAGAAAAAACCAAGCCATGAGGTCGAAGGAATTGTCCTTAGAGCTCCGATACAGGATTGTGTCGAGGCACAGATCTGGGGAAGGGTACCAAAAACTTCTGCAGCATTGAAGGTCCCCTAGAACACAGTGGCCTCGATCATTCTTAAATGGAAGAAGTTTGGAACCACCAAGACTATTCCTAGAGCTGGCCGCCAGGCCAAACTGAGCAATTGGGGGAGAAGGGCCTTGGTCAGGGAGGTGACCAAGAACCTGATGGTCACTTTGACAGAGCTCCAGAGATCCTCTTTGGAGATGGGAGAACCTTCCTGAAGGACAAAAATCTCTGCAGCACTCCACTAATCAGGCCTTTATGGTAGAGTGGTCAGACGGAAGCCACTCCTCAGTAAAAGGCACATGACAGCCCGCTTGGAGCTTGCCAAAAGGCACCTAAAGGACTCTCAGACCATGAGAAACAAGATTCTCTGGTCTGATGAAACCAAGATTGAACTCTTTGGCCTGAATGCCAAGCATCACGTCTGAAGGAAACCTTACACCATCCCTACGGTGAAGCATGGTGGTGGCAGCATCATGCTGTGGGGATGTTTTTCAGTGGCAGGGACTGGGAGACTAGTCAGGATCAAGGGAAAGATGAATGGAGCGAAGTACAGAGAGCTCCTTGATGAAAATCTGCTCCAGAGTGCTCAGGACCTCAGACTGGGGCAAAAGTTCACCTTCCAACAGGACAACGACCCTAAGCACACAACCAAGACAATGCAGGAATGGCTTCGGGACAAATCTCTGAATGTCCTTGAGTGGCCCAGCCAAAGCCAGGACTTGAACCCGATCAAACATCTCTGGAGAGACCTGAAAATAGCTGTGCAGCGACGCTCCACTCCAACCTGACAGAGCTTGAGAGGATCTGCAGAGAAGAATGGGAGAAACTCCCCTAATTCAGGTGTGCCAAGCTTCTAGCGTCATTCCCAAGAAGACTCGAGGCTGTGATCACTGCCAAAGGTTCTTCAACAAAGTACTGAGTAAAGGGTCTGAATACTTATGTAAATGTTATATTAAATAATTTTTTTATACAGTTGCAAACATTTCAAATAAACAGTTTTTGCTTTGTCATTATGGGGTATTGTGTGTAGATTGATGAGAAAACAAACTATTTAATCAATTTTAGAATAAGGCTGTAACGTAACAAAATGTGGAAAAAGTCAAGGGGTCTGAAAACTTTCCGAATGCACTGTAAGCAAAATGTCTGCGATAAGTGATCGGTATGGTTGGTGTTGATAATTTTAGGTTTGTCATCCCAGTTCTACACACACACACACACACCCACACACACACACATACACACACACACACACACACACAGACAAACATACAAGCTGTTTTTAGCATCTATGCTCAGTCATACCAGGATAACTTCAGGATAGATGGATACCACCAGCCTTGAAACCAGCCCATGTGTCATCTCCACAATAACAATGCTTAAGTGTTTCAATAGCCGTGCATCTACAAAGCACTTCCATACCAGGTGCCTGCTGCACAATGCACTCCAATACCATGCATCTTGACAAGGCCCTTGAATAGCCAAGCATATAAACCAGAGCTTTAACATACCGCACTGTATTACTGGAAAGCCTACACCCAGTCCCTACATTATACCATCCCACATTCATTTGTCCAGGCCAGCTAAAAGGATGACTGCTGCTTCTGCACATTGTGTGCTACACACTAATGTATTTACACCCTAGGGCAGAGTGTTTGTGTGTGTGTGTGTGTCTCAATCATTAGATCTAAAGCACATCACAGCCCCTGACCGGTTAGATGAGCCATTTCCTACTGAGATAATAGGACCCAAACAAGATATTAGTCCAACTGACAGACATTTAGGCAGGATGTATCTTCACACACACCCTCTGGCTGCTGCTGGGACATTTCATCGTCTTCCATCCCATAATAATCCTGCTGCCTGCCGAGCCCTCTCCCCAGACAGAGTAACCAGGGTTTATTTCTGGAGATGTATAGAGTGTTTAACCAGTCCTCCCTCCCAAACCTGTCATGTCGCTCTCTTCTCTCCCGCTTTCCCTCTCTTTCTCTCTGTTCTTAACCGGCCGGGTTTGACTCTTTATGTTGTCAGTTATAGATAGTAGCTAATGCTGAAATGTGTTCTCATTCCAAATACATTGTCTGTATATTTAGAGTGTGTGATCTGGTAGACCTACAGGGAAAAGCTCCATCTGAGGCTTCACAAGGTTAGGGCGGTCATTGTGTGTTTGTGTGTGTGTTTCTGTGTGTGTTTGTGCGTGTGTGTGTTTGAGAGACAGTTATACGTTTCAAGTTTTATTAGTCGGATGTACAGGATACACATGGTATACACCATCCAACAAAATGCTTACTTGCAGGTTCCTTCTGGACAAATAATACAAGATAAGAATACGAACATAAAGTAAATGGCTCAGTAGAATGGAATAAAGATTTTAGCATAAATATAATACAGAAAGGCACAATTTATAGTACAATATTTACATGTGTTTTGGGGAAGGGGGAATCGGGGGGCAAGTGTCTAAATTGTGCAGTATTTAGCAATAATAATAAGTCTGGTAGCAGCAATTGTGGTGAGTTTGTGTGTGTCTGTGTGGGTGTGTACGTGAGTGAGTGCATGTGTGCTGAAGTGCGAAGAGTCAAGGCAGGTGGTCAGTCCAGTTCAAATGTTCAGTAGTCTGATGGCTTGTAGATAGAAACTGTCTCTGAGCCTGTTGGTATCAGACCTCATGCGCCGATACGTCTGCCTGATGGTAAGGCAGTGAACAGCTTGTGTGTGGGGTCCATGAGGGAGGGAGGGCTAGGGGGAGGGAGGGAGAGCGAGAGAGGGAGGGAGAGCGAGAGAGGGAGGGAGAGCGAGAGAGGGAGGGAGGGAGGGAGGGAGGGAGGGAGGGAGGGAGGGAGGGAGGGAGGGAGGGAGAGAGGGGTTCTGTATGTGTGAGAGGGTTATGCTATACGCTAGGGGAAGGTGTCAGCGCATAGGGCTGATGTAATAGAAATATAACAACAACAATGTCATATAGCAAATGCTTTAATCTAAAGCCACTTAAAGTTGACATATGTAAATATAGTATATGTGGGAATGAAAGCCACAACTTTGATCCATGTGCTAACCAAACAATGTGCTCCAACTCTAATCCATCGTATGCCACTGAACCACTGACGTGACACTGAACCACTGACGGGACACTGAACCACTGACGGAACACTGAACCACTGACGGAACACTGAACCTCTGACGGAACACTGAACCACTGACGGGACACTGAACCACTGACGTGACACTCAGTTCTCTTCTTCTTTCTCTCCTCCTGCAGTCATCCCCGACTCACTCACCGTCACCGCGCCGCCACAGACCCTCTCCCAGGTGGAGGGTGACACGCTCCAGCTCAGCTGTGAGGTTTCCCGGGCGACGGAGCAGCACACACACCTGTCTGTGGGTTGGTACCTGCGTTCCCCTGAAGACGCTTCCGCCCCACCCCTGGAGATCCTCACCCTGTCCCGGGACTTTGTCCTCCGTGCCGGCGGGCCTTACAAACAGAGGATGACCTCAGGAGACCTGAGGCTGGATAAGACCAGCGCTACATCCTACAGGCTGACCATCCACCGGCTGCAGCCTGCTGACCAGGGTCTGCTCTACTGCCAGGCTGCAGAGTGGATCCAGGACCCCGACCACAGCTGGTTCGCTATGACCCGCAAGCAGGCCGACAAGACCCAGCTACGTATACAGCCCACTGGTGAGTAGGGGGAGATGGGAGTGTGGAGATGTGTGTGTGTGTGTGTGTGTGTGTGTGTGTGTGTGTGTGTGTGTAAGGTTGTGACTCGTCACACACACACATACTCTCCGAGGGCTGATCAGTATCTCTCACTAAGCTCATTAGAGCACTAAGTAGGGCTTACCAAACCTCTACAGACTGCCCTTATCAGTGTATACGTGCATCATGCATGTGTTGACTGGCATACAGGAAACACAAAGCTGGACTGTTACAAGGGTCAGAGATCGCACAGGGTCAGAAATCAGGAAGTACACACACCCTGACAATAATGGAGTGTTTCATGCTGACGTGATAGTAGTACGTCATCTCATTAGGCTTCCTGTGACCTTGAAGTCAGAGGCGAAATGTCATTTATATTCCTCACTGTTCCCCCTCTGTATCCTACAGTGAAACACTCCCTTTGTGTCTGGGCTAGTCTACTGTATATGAGACATACTGCTCTGTTTGTGACGAGAGTTAAATCTCTCAGCCATCCACAGTTATACTGGGGAAATTCCCCCAGAGATCAGAGGGAGTGAGAGAGGAGGAGAAGAGCGGAGAGAGAGAGAGAGAGGGGGGGGGGGGGGGGACAGGCGAGAGAGCGAGACAGAGGAAAGAGATTCTGCTTCTTATGATATTATAATTAGCTGTCGACCTCTAACCCAGCAGACAGGGCACAAGAACAGAGTCTGAGCTACACACGCACTGTACGATCCTTGTGAGGACTTCTGGTCCCCACAAGGATAGGAAAATCCCCCAAAACACACACACACACACATTAAATACAGGGCCAATGTACAGTACAATACTGTCTTTCTCCAGATCCAGGAACACTATTCCAGTAGATAATGCAAAACATTTTTTTTTTTTTTTAAGAATGACAGTGGAATTATTAATTGATTGTTAATGGCGCCACAGATCGTGATCAGAGGATGTTCGATAGGAAGATTATGTCTCTCAGAAGAGCAATAAGTCAGCCAGGAGAGGCACATAGAGCTCTGCTTCTTACACCCACTCTCTTCTCTCTCTTTTCTCTCTTCTGTCTCTCTCTTTTATAATCTATAATGGATGGGAGTATTGTAGCGTGACAAACGGAGTAGAGCAGGGCGTTTGTGTGCATGTATGTGTCTACTGATTATGTGTGTGTGTGTACACCTGCTTGTGTGTGTGTGAGGCTCTTTCATTAGGCTGTGTGTATTGAAGGGAGAGAGAGAGGACCCTGAGACAGCCCCATCACTGGCTAATCACCCATAGACAGAGAGGAGAGAGGCTAGACAAGGACAGAATCCTAATGGACCTCTTCTTTGCTTTCCATCTCTCTCTCTCCCTTACTTTATCGTTCTCTCCCTTTCTTGTCATATCTCTCCCTCTACACATCTCTCTCTAAACCGCTCTCTCTTTTTGATGTTTTTTCACTCTCTTCTTGTTCTCTGCTCTCTCTTCTTGCCTTTTTCTGTTTTCATACCCTCTCTTTCTCCCTTTAACGTTTCATCCCACACCTCTCTCCCTTGCGCCCTTTTATCTTTTCCCAACTCTCTCGCTTTCTAACTCCCGCTTTTAAAATATCTCTCTACCTGTTTTCTGCAGTTTCCTACTCTCTCGCTGCATCTGATTTGGCTATGTTTCTTTTCACGTTTAATTTATTACAAAAGTTGACAGGTGCATGTCTCCACTTTCAGTTCCTCTCTTCCTCCGTGTCTCTCACCTCTCAGTATTGCCCGGGCACAGTTCAGGGTAGTATTCATTAAGACACATCATAGCAAAAAGTTTCAAAACGTTGTGCAATGGAAAACGTAAACAAGCATTTCCTATTGGACAAGTTGAGATGGTACCTCCCCATTTTCATCCGTTTGCTTCAGTTTGGTGTGCCTAGTGAATACGACCCAGTTTCCCATGGCCATGTTTGTTGTTGAACTCTAAGTTGAGGCAGTGTCCTTGTAAAGCAGGTCACAGCTCCATGAATTTAGATCCAGACAGGAATACAGTCAGCCCAGCTCTGATGTCACAATGCAATATCCTGCCGCTTCATTGGTCAATGAGGGACAGACCGTCACTGGTCTTTGTTCTGGGATCTGCTTTCCGCTCTGTTAGTGATGACCTGTGTGTGTCTGTCTGTCTGTGTGTGTGAGTGTGCTTGTATCTTTCCAGTTAGTGCCAGACTGTTAGCTATTAGGCTCATTGTTATTTTAGAGACTGTGTGTGTGTGTGTACATGTAAACATTCATCCCCCTCCCCTCTTCAAATGGCAGGCTTTGAACTTTTCCACGACTGTGTTTTCTCAGGAAGTCTGTTTAAAGTCTTTATAATTACAGCCAGTGGCTAGCACCTCACTGATTGAGCCAGGCAGAGTGGAGCGGAGCAGAGAAGGAGAGGGATGCAGACAGCATACCGCTGCTCGTCATGTTGAAATTAATACTGTCAATAAAACGCTGGTGCCACCGTGTGCAGAGTCCATCTGTAATTGGGAGCCTGGTCAAAGAGGTGTAGGCAGCAAAGGCTGCGCTGACAATGTTTGCTCGGGCTCCTCTCCTCTCTCTTCTGTCAGGAAGAGCGAAGGAGATGAGCGAAGGAGATGAGCGAAGGAGACGAGCAGAGCGGCGAGGCTTTTTTCGTCTGCTGTAGAGAATCTTAATTAGCTGTGTTTTTGTGTTGGAGGTGAAACCAAGGGGAGAGGAGGAGGCTGAAGGTGCTGTGCTTTACTGTGGGCATAGCTGACTCCTCCCTCTCTTTCTCTTTCTGATCCTCCTTCTCTCGCTGTCTCCGCCCCCAATGTGACAATCAGTAGACATTAAAGAATAGGATGTGTTAGTGTGATGCATTTTAATTTAATGTGCTCGTATTTAAAGCAGGTCTCTATCCCGAGCAGCTAGTCAAGCTGTCATGCATTATATGAGGATAAGGGAACATGTGATATGCAACAGCTAAATCAGAGTTGATGACTTCTTCCCTCTCTCTGTCCTTCTGTCTTTGGGAGAGACTGGCAGAGCTGAAACCATACTGATGGTAAATGTTAAAAATGCCAATTTTCTCTTATCCCTCTCCCCTTTCCTCCCCCCAGATCAGGAAGTCAGCATCCAGGGGGAAATGAACATCCTCTTGATTAGGGACTGGAGTATGAAGATGTGAAGGAGGAGGAGCTAAATTCTACCTCAACTCTGCTTTCTAACTCATTCTCTCTCTCTCTCTCTCTCTCTCTCTCTCTCTCTCTCTCTCTCTCTCTCTCTCTCTCTCTCTCTCTCGCTCTCGCTCTCTCTCTCCCCCCCTCTCCCCCAGATCGGGACTTCTCTATCCAGGTGAGCACGGAGCGGCGGTCCTTCACGGCGGGCGAGCCGCTGGAGCTGCGCTGCACCATCGATGCCCAGAGCGTGCCCGAGCGCTTCTTCTCGGTGTCGTGGGTGTTCAGCAGCTCGTCGGTTGCTGTGATAGGGCCCAGCGCTGTGCCCGTCCTGGGACCCGACTACGTGGCGCGCGAGGCCGCCGGTCACATGACTGTGCGCAAGGAGAGCCCTGCCGTGCACCTGCTGAAGTTGCAGCGCCTCCGACCAGAGGATGCTGGGAAATACATCTGTAGAGTCATGGAGAGGGAGAAGACACCCACCGGGGACTTTATAGACCGGAGCAAGAGATCACGCAACGTCCAGATCACTGTGCAGCCCATCAGTGAGTATCAACACGGCACGCTATTGGCTCCTGTGTTAGTAAAAGGCCACTCATTGGCCCCTTGGTCAGTTAAACCAGGGATTCCCAAACTTTTTCACTCGGGGCCCCCCTTCCAGCATTGGTGAACATCCCACGCCCACCCTGCGTGCGCGCCAAATCTATTTCTATGGGCACAAGCAGTGTTCATGTCACAAACTGTTCACACCCCTCTTGTTGGTGGAGAGAATTTTGCAGGTTTAAAGCTTATTTCCTGCAATTCTACACATTTTGTCATGGGGTACAAAGAACATTTTGCAGTTTTAAAACTAATTGTCTTGCAATTCTATACATTTTACCATGTCTAATGTGTATTCATGTGATATTTTTGTGATCTAAAAATTACAACAATATCTATGGGCTAAAAAACGGGAAAAAAAAATTTGGGCTGACATGGGCTAGTTGATCTGGACATTTCTGACAAGTTATAAATAGCTCTCTAAGGTATGCAATGACTAACATGACAAGAGGAACTGATGATGCACTACCTCATTTCGAATTTACACCTAGCATTCTACTATTACAAACGTTCAAGAGTAAGTTTAAAGCTGCGCCCCCGCACCCCCATGCCGACCATGGGGGACGCGCCCCACAGTTTGGGAACCACTGAGTTAAACAACATCTGATTGGCCCTTTGATAGTAGTATGCTTTTCTAATGATATACATTATGTATTCTCCCAGAGCGGAGGTCAGATACATCTCTTCCAGAGAACAGTAGAGCCTCTATTGTGGACCGTGAGTCTCACTGAGAATAAAGCCGCTCTTTATTCCACCATTATTTTCTATAGGGCTGGGAATTGCCTGGGACCTCACGATATGATATTATCATGATACTTGGGTGCCGATACGATATGTATTGTGATTCTCGCGATTCGATACTGCGATATTATTGCTATTATCACTATTTAAAAAGAAGATGGAGAACAAGCTATAAAAGGAAAAATACTGGAGTTTGGGTGCAGGTACAGCTGACTAGCGCTAGATAACACTACCTAGCAATTCAAATATTATTCGTACTTGGAGTCAAAGTATAAATATAATATAGTCCAAAATAATCTTGTGATATGTAACTGTATCGACTTTTCCCCCGTCACTCATTTTCTGTCTGAGTGGATTGCTAAATATTGGTAATGCAGTATTATGGTCCTTCACATTTCCTCAGCTCAGGGCTGCGTGCGAGTGCTGCTAGCTTGGATAATGGAGAGAGCTGGAGAGGAGGATGCAGGAGGCTGAGCTAACAGCCGTGAAATGAGAGTGTGAAGAAGGAGAGAGGGAGAGAATGGGGCCTAGCTCTCCAGGGCCCACTAATGGATCCCTGGGCTGAGTGACTAGAGGCATGCTGGAACACTGGGAGGCGATATGAAGCCTAATCTAGCTAATACAACCCTTCCAAAACCTTGAGTGCCCAATGTTCTCATCCTCTCTCTTTCTCTTTCTATCCTGATGTATCCTCTCTGTCTTCTAGTTTAGTGGCTCCCCTTTGGTCTGCAACTCTATAGCCCCTCTACAGCACCCTCCTCTCTATCCCTCACTCTCTCTTTCTAAGGGCTGGTGTTGAATGCTAAAGTCAGCTGTTACCAGCATTAAAACACAATAACAACCCACCCCATCTCACCCTAAATATGCCATCATCCACCACCTGCACCCAACCATCCTGACCTTACCCAAACACCCCCCACTTCACCCCACTCCCGAACAAACTGTCCCAAAACAAAGCCCCCCTGGCCCCCACATGGCCCCAGTAATCCCCAGGGATTCTCCCTAATGGAACCTTTTGTTTCCCTAACAAATAGGTTTAATGTTCTATAAAAGCATTTTATGGAGTTTCTTTTGCAGTTTAATAACCATGGTTACAGCAGGGAGGGAGGTCTTAATGGAGAGTGGAGCAGGTAGAGGGGTAGAAGGGTAAGGGTATGGGGTCAGGGTGACTCCCCTGTATGGGATCAGGGTAACTCCCCCCGTATGGGGTCAGGGTAACCCCCCCAACCCACCCACCTCTAGTTACCACCCCTTGTATCTGGACCCATTAGCAGCGGTGATGGGGGGAGTATAGGTTAGAGAAGGTTGAGAGCAGGAGGGTGGGCAGAGGGAAGAGAGAGATGTAAACAGTGCTGACAAATCAGTCCTGATGAATGAGTTTACCTTGGGCAGGGGGAGGGGTCTTGACGCGCTGCTATGAATTACAAACACACAGAGAAAGGGACCGCGGCAGCGAGAGACGGGCAGGAGAGAGAAAGACACACAGAGAGAGAGAAAAGGAAGGGACTGAGAGAGAGAGAGGAGGAAAGAGAAAGAAGGATAGAAACACACAGAGAAGAGATGGAGATATAAATAGAGAGAGAACTGAGAGAGGAGAAAGAGAAAAACAGGCAGGTTTGAAGAGGAGAGAAGCTGCCCTCTGCCTGCCTAACCATGTGTGATGTTCATACACATCTACATTGACACTAAGAGCTGAGAGACAGAGAGAACGTATCATGTATTTAACACAGGGAAAAGCTGGGGTGAAATTGAAAGATGGAGAAAAAGAGACAGGGATGGAGGCCTTCCATTTGTTCATGTAAGTGTGAAAGGCTGCTTCATTCTGTATTCACCCAGGGCTGGGGCTTGTTAGGAGGAGTGGTTAGCTCCCAGGAAGGCTGCTTCATTCTGTATTCACCCAGGGCTGGGGCTTGTTAGGAGGAGTGGTTAGCTCCCAGGAAGGCTGCTTCATTCTGTATTCACCCAGGGCTGGGGCTTGTTAGGAGGAGTGGTTAGCTCCCAGGAAGGCTGCTTCATTCTGTATTCACCCAGGGCTGGGGCTTGTTAGGAGGAGTGGTTAGCTCCCAGGAAGGCTGCTTAATTTTGTATTCACCCAGGGCTGGGGCTTGTTAGGAGGAGTGGTTAGCTCCCAGGAAGGCTGCTTCATTCTGTATTCACCCAGGGCTGGGGCTTGTTAGGAGGAGTGGTTAGCTCCAAGGATGGCTGCTTCATTCTGTATTCACCCAGGGCTGGGGCTTGTTAGGAGGAGTGGTTAGCTCCCAGGAAGGCTGCTTCATACTGTATTCACCCAGGGCTGGGGCTTGTTAGGAGGAGTGGTTAGCTCCAAGGATGGCTGCTTCATTCTGTATTCACCCAGGGCTGGGGCTTGTTAGGAGGAGTGGTTAGCTCCCAGGAAGGCTGCTTCATACTGTATTCACCCAGGGCTGGGGCTTGTTAGGAGGAGTGGTTAGCTCCAAGGATGGCTGCTTCATTCTGTTTTCACCCAGGGCTGGGGCTTGTTAGGAGGAGTGGTTAGCTCCCAGGAAGGCTGCTTCATTCTGTATTCACCCAGGACTGGGGCTTGTTAGGAGGGGTGGTTAGCTCCCAGGAAGAATGCTTCATTCTGTTTTCACCCAGGTCTGGGGCTTGTTAGTAGGAGTGGTTAGCTCCCAGGAAGGCTGCTTCATTCTGTATTCTCCCTGGCCTGGGGCTTGTTAAGAGGGGTGGTTAGCTCCCAGTCAACCCCTCATACTCTGACGGCAGAGAGAACGAGATGGAGGGAACAAGGGAGAGAGAGAGAAAGAGAGCGGGAAATAAAGGGGGTGTTGGGGCCGGGCAGCACTCTGCCAGGCTCTGCAGTGTGTGAAAGGCGCTGAAGTGGTGCGAGAAGGAAAGAGAGGGTCTGTTTTAAAGCACAGGGGATGGGCAGCTGAAGACTTTTATCCTTCAGCACTTTCTTCTGAGGAGGAATTTCTCAGATGCTGAGCCGTGTGGTTTCAGGCCCAGCTCCTAAGCCTTGGGTGGACCGGGGTATCGGCTACGTTACATTAGGTGGCAGAAGTCCACCCCCACGCATCAGTCCACTGGGGTCTTTGTGTGTCTGACAGTTACTCTCTCTCTTTCTCTCAGGTGCCCCTAGGCCAGAGTCGAGTGATCATCTCCACAGACACACAGGCTGCTGTGACATAAATACAGTACATGCATAGGCTAGTCAGTAGTATATTCCAGTCACTGGTAGACACGATACTGCCCGTGGTTCTTTTTGTCCTATATGAATTTTTCAACATGTGAAGCCTGGTTCTAGTATTTGATTATTTTAATTTAAAGCCCTGTCAAAATGTCATATTGGAGAGGTTTTGGTCAATTTTGACTTATTTTGTATTTGTTCTCTCTCACTCCTTCTCCCTCTCCCTCTACCACATCCCTCCCTCTCTATACTCTCCCTCTCTGAACTATCTCTCTCTCCCCACTCCTCTCTCCCTCCACCAGAGAGTAACATCACAGTGTCTTTGTCCAGTAACTTGTCAGAGGTCCAGGAGGGGGACGTGGTTCAGCTGACCTGCTCCATCCACTCCACCACGGGTCCTCTCTCTGTGGCCTGGCAGTGGAGTGAGAAGCAGGGCTCCACCCCTCCCCAGGACCTGGTCTCCGTAGACCGCGACGGGACCATCCGACCAGGCCCTGGGTACCGTGAGCGCTCCAGCTACGGGGAGATCCGGGTAGAGAGGGTACGAGAGGACATCTATACCCTGTCCCTATACAACGCCCTGCCTGGGGATGAGGGGCTGTACCGGTGCACGGCCACAGAGTGGGTGGAAGCCGGGACAGAGCCGGAGCAGAGCTGGGAGAAGATAGGAGAGAAATCAGCCACCAAGGCCATCACTGTTAAGACCGTGGGTGAGTGTGTGTAGCAGGGACTCATGACTCAGGAAGACATACATACATACATACATACATACATACATACATACATACATACATACATACATACATACATACATACATACATACATACATACACACACACGGGACCCTGACACACACACAGAGTATATAAAGGGAAAGGGGGATACCTAGTCAGTTGTACAACTGAATGGATTCAACTGAAATGTGTCTTCCACATTTAACCCAACCCCTCTGAATCAGAGAGGTGCAGGGGGCTGGCTTAATCAACATCCACGTCATCGGCGCCCAGGGAACAGGGGGTTAACTGCCTTTCTCGGGCAGAACGACAGATTTTAACCTTGTCAGCTCACACACACATACAGTATACCCACACACACACACATCAAGGTCATCTCTGTCACGACAAGTTGTAAACTTATGCAACAGGAGAACACACACATGTCTCCCGAGTGGCACAGTGGTCTAAGGCACTGCATAGCTGTGCCACTAGAGATCCTGGTTCGAATCCAGGCTCTGTCGTAGCCGGCCGCAACCGGGAGACCAATGGGGCGGCGCACAATTGGCCCAGCGTCGTCCAGGATAGGGGAGGGAATGGCCGGCAGGGAGGTAGCTCAGTTGTTAGAGCATGGCGTTTGCAACGCCAGAGTTGTGGGTTCGATTCCCACGGGGGGCCAGTATAAAAAATATATATAAAAAAAATGTATGCACTAACTGTAAGTCGCTCTGGATAAGAGTGTCTGCTAAATGACGTAAATGTAAAATATACACACATCAAGAGCATCGCTGTGAAGACATTTCTTGAGCACCAAAATGCACATACACACACACACACATGTCCAGTCCTTCCATGTGTAGACAGGTGGTAAGCGTGTGCAGGGGGATGTCAGGAACACAAAGAGAGCAGTCATTTTCATACCTGTTGTAAGAGATTGTGATGAATAGCTCACTGAGAGGCTGGTGTGGGCTGGAAAATAAAGCATGCTTTATTCATGCAGTGCCAAGGGGTATGTGCCACTACAACACACACACACACACACACACCATTCTGACTTCAGATGTAGTTTTTATATTTCATGATATTATAGACACAACACACACAATCTTGACTTGAGACAAACACTCACACTACTTGCGTACACGCAGATTATCTAGAATTATTAAAATGGAAATGTGTTTAGCAGTGGGCAGGCTTTCCTCTGTCAGTGAGTTAAGCTGAACATCCCTGGTACAGGCTGACTGAGAGAGGCACTGGTGCGGCGCACTGACTGAGGCGTTGGGGAACCAAGGGCTCAGTGCACAGTCGCGCGCACACACACCACACACACACACATACACACACACACACACACACACACACACACACACACACACACACACACACACACACACACACACACACACACACACACACACACACAGCAAGAGAAGGGATTAGTCCCTGCAGCAGAATATCGTGGTGCTGTGGAGGGAGAGAAAATATGTCAGCTTTTTAATTGGACATTTGTTGTGTTTTAGCAACAACTGATCAATTACAGGTAACTGCCAAAATAAAGGAAACACCAACATAAAGTGTCTAAATAGGGCATTGGGCCACCACTAGCCGCCAGAACAGCTTCAATGTGCCTTGTCATAGATTCTACAAGTGTCTGGAACTCTATTGGACGGATGCAACACCATTCTTCCACAATAAATTCCATAATTTGGTGTTTTGTTGATGGTGGTGGAAAACACCATATCAGGTGCCGCTCCAGAATCTCCCATAAGTGTTCAGTTGGGTTGAGATCTGGTGACTGAGACACACACACCCTATGCTCCTTTGAGACCCTTCTTTTAAAGTCACATATCTCTTCTTCTATAGCCGTGGTAACCAAATTAATGGGCAACTGGGCATTTTTATACATGACCCTAAGCATGATGGGATGTTAATTACTTAATATGCTCAAGAACCACACGTGTGGAAGCACCTGCTTTCAATATACTTTGTATCCCTCATTTACTCAAGTGTTTCCATTATTTTGGCAGTTACCTGTATGTAGATTATGTAGATGCTTGTTTTTTTATTGTTCTTACACGTTTTTATTTTATTTGTGTGTACAGTATGTGTGTCAGTTTCCCTGTGTGTGTCTGTATCATGTGTTTGTGCGCGCGTGCTTGTGTCTTCAAGATGTGTAGCATCTGCTTGCCTCAGTCTCTACTGAAGTCTCCTCTGTAGAGCAGTGACAGTCGGCCAAGGTATAAATAGGCCCGCACTCTTTTCCTCTGTTCCTCCTCTCCTCTATTCTCTCTCTTCTCCTTTAATCTGTTCCTCCTTCTGTTCTTCCATTCCCCTTTTTCACAATGCGTCTTTTTCCAAGTTGGCTGTCTGTCCTGTGGGGATTAGTGTCCTCAGGGGTTTGACAGAGAGGTGATGCGTTGCCATGGTGAAGGTGTTCATTTGGTAGTCAGGGGATCCTGGTAGCTGATTGGCTGAAGAGCCCCCAGGAGTGATTTGGTTGGCAGGTCTGTGATGATGACAAGCCCAGGCTCTTAGACCTAACACATACACACACATTAGCAAACACACACGCATGCGCACATGCACACATATGATAGGCATATACTTACAGTCGACTCACGGCGATGTATACATAGGAAAGGGCATATTAAGGTAATATAATAGGAAAGGAATGATCAGTTTGAACTTGTCTCTCCCGTCACAGAGGCAGACAGACCGACAGTGAGGGATGGAAGAAGACAGAGAGAGGGAGGGAAGGGCTGAATGAGAGATGGAGGGAGAGCGAGAGGAGAGTTATTGTCTAATGTAGAATTATGGGCTGCGGCTGCTGTCCCAGCAGTAGCCAACAGTCTGGACATAAAACCATTGATTACACACCCTGAAGGACACTATGGACAACTCACTGCCAGGGGAGAGGGATGAGGAGAGGAGGGAGGGAGCAAGGGAGGAGGGAGAGATGACAAGTGAATAATGGAGAAATCTGCACAATCTGAGTTCATCACAAAAGAGGTCTTTCTCTCACGCTCACCGCTTCTCTCTCAATTCAATTCAATGTCAATTTAAGGGGCTTTATTGGCATGGGAAACATATGTTTACATTGCCAAAGCAAGTGAAATAGATAATAAAAAAAAGTGAAATAACAAAAAAAAATTAACAGTAAACATTACACTCACACTGTCTCTCTCTCTCTGAAATACATGTATGTGAGGGCAGTAAGATACTGAAATGGGTTGATATCAGTAAGAATTGCAGACTAAAATGGAGGATATTACAGAGGGATATCTGATAGAACTGTGGAGTGAAGTATACTGTACCAGGGAATCTCTCCCTCCTCCTCTTTCTCAACTCTCTAAGTGGTGTAGTGTAGGTCTATGTTGGCCCTATTATCTGGACCAGGGTGACTGTTGTTATCTTAATGAGGAAGGTTTGGATTGGCTAGAGAAAGAAGCAGATCGAACATCAGCTCTTAGAGCAAATCTCTCCCTGGAGCCTTCTCTGGTGGTGCATCACCATTAGTTTTGAGCTCTGCTCTGACACACAGTTACAAACACACTCAAACGCATACACACACACTGCAATGAGACACACATACATTCACTCTCTCTCACACACACACTGTCTGTGGCCGCCGGGTAGTCATGATAAATCGATCTGTGCTCCGTTAGCCCAGTGCACCCTGGGTAAATGTTGTGGGTGCTAATCTCAGCAGGAGAGTCCTCCCCCATCCAACCACCTGTGACCTTTAACCCTATTAGTGTTACACGGTATACTGACACTTCACTACTTTTTCGATACTAGAACATGTTCCTGCTCCAGCTCCACTTACTCATGGCTAGCTCTAGCCTGTCCTGAGGAACCACTGCACTCACTGGGAGTCTGGGCTGCATCACCACTTCTGCTGCACAGAAGTTAGCAAGATGATCTTTGCTCGAGTCTCGAACTGACTGTGTGTGTGAATGATGTCATGGGGCTTAAAGAGACTGCGCACACTGTTATAAAATAAGAGATTGCGATCTACTATGCAAATGTTGTTGATCAGTACAATAAAATAAGTCCCAAATGGAAGGGAAACAGATTGTTTTTCATGCAAGCAGTGTGTCCTATTGAATATGCATTCACCTGTATTGTGAATAGGCCTAGGCTACATGTTGATTTACCCAGTTTATCAATAGGTTAGAGATTTACCATTCAAATAAATTATTACCCATCTTACTATATAACAACAATGGTAAACAACTAAGTCAAATTGATTACATAATTGATTCATTAATGCATACATTCATCAACAACAAAACAGTTCAAATGTAATGATATTGAACTCAAAACTTCTGTCTGGATCAAGTGCCATTCTGTGACTTCATGATACTAAACCTGGTATCGTTATCGAAGTCGAAATTCTGGTATCGTGACAACACTAAACCTTATACATTACATAATCTACAGACACACAGTATACAACCTCTCTATACGGTTCTGTTTCAGAGGACAGTGAATGGATTCTAACGGCTAACTTGTTGATCAAAGGCAAGTTATTCAACTCTCACTGAATGCCACTTGGTCTTGCAATCCCTACTCCTTCCCTCCCCCTTTGTCTGTGTATTACAGCAGAGGGTTGGTCCCATCACAGTCCGTCACCACCATGGCCTCTGTCATGCTGCCTGGCCTGCCACACTGCTTACCTCTCCAATCCTTTCACATACTACATCAAGTGCCTAAGGAATAGCAGCTAGGAAATAGGAGTAAGGGAATAGGAGTTAGGGAATAGGAGTTAGGGAATAGGAGTTAGGGTATAGGAACGAGGGTATAGGAGCTAGGGAATAGGAGAGGGAATAGGAGTTAGGGTATAGGAGCTAGGGAATAGGAGTTAGGGAATAGGAACTAGTAATCCAATTTAGGGAATAGGAACTAGGGGTCGGTTTGGAATTTAGCCTTACTCTCCAACATTAACACATAATTTCCTCTCTTCCTGTTTTCCCAGAATCCTCCTTCGTGGTGTCGGCGTCGTCGCGGACGCCTAGCGTGACCTTTGGTGACTCGTTTGATCTCCAGTGCCTGGTCAAGCCCCGCCATAACCCTCGTGTGCCCGCCTCCGTCACCTGGCGCTTCATGCCCACCGGCTCAGGCTCTGCCGGGGAGGGTGGTGAGGGTGGCACGGCGGGCGAGTTCCGAGACCTGGTGACGTTTACCCGTGAGGGCACGCTGCAGTGGGGCGAGCAACTGCTGGGCCAGGGTACCCGCACCACCGTGGACCGTTCCCATGCCAACACCAACTTCAGGTTGTCTGTGACGCGTGCCGGGCGTAGGGAGGCGGGGACATATCAGTGTTCTGCCCTCCTTTGGAGGAGGAACTACGACAACACCTGGAGCAAAGTGGCCAACAGGACATCTAACCTGCTAGGGATCAGCGTGTTACAGCCAGGTAGGGGACACACACACACACACACACACACACACACACACACACACACACACACACCTTGAGCCCTGTAGCCAACCAACCACACTTCTGGACATTAATTAACACACAAAACAGAGACACACACACAGAATGACTGCGGTAGGCCTGAGGTCAGGGAATGTTTAGAGGTGAACATATGCTGCACAGGTTTTCTCCTCCCTGTCCTCCTGTCCTCCTGTGTTCTGTGAGAGCCCTGTACAGTCTGAGGAGTGAGTCCTGTATTAGCATTGTGTATTCTGCCCATTAGGTCTGTGGTGCCATGGACCTATAGGTATTAGAGTCTCTCTCTCTCTGCTCTAATTGCTCTCTCTCTCTCTCTCTCTCTCTCTCTCTCTCTCTCTCTCTCTCTCTCTCTCTCTCTCTCTCTCTCTCTCTGCTCTAATTGCTTTTGCTCTCTTGTTTACGGACTAATTGTGTGTGTGTGTGTGTGTGTGTGTGTGTGTGTGTGTGTGTGTGTGTGTGTGTGTGTGTGTGTGTGTGTGTGTGTGTGTGTGTGGCAGCACTGGGCAAGGCGGAACCTCCTAATGGAGCAGTGTAGTAACGATGGATCGTTAATGTCCCCACTAGAGATAGTGATCAGAGAGAGGAAAACAATGGGTGAGAGAGAGAGAATAGTAAGAGATATGTCCTTGAACTGTTTCGCTCATCAACAATTCACTAACTACACCCCATGCACTGTTGCAATAATAGGCTTTTATTCGCTCACACACACACTGTATACCTTTCCTTTAGGATCCCTCATAGTCTAGTATGATTTCCCTCCAGGTATCAGGGGTCTGGGTTGTGGTGTGGGTCTGGCTGGCCGTGGGTCTGGAGATGGCTGAATAGGCCAATCCATGACCTCACGATCTTGTCGCAGTGGGGGCAGCTTGCTGTTACACACACACACACACACACACTGAACAACCCGCTGATGACATTGAGGCAGAGTTTGTGTTTGTGTGTAGAGGAGGTTAATGTCAGTGCTTGTGTTCCTGGGTTCCCAGGCTGTTTATGTGTTCTCTCTGTGAGGAGACTGAATTACATTACTGCCACTCTGGCCTTGAGCTGAGGAGTGTTTGTGTTTGTGCAATGTGCACTACCTCATTAAAGTGTGTGTGTGGGCGTGCCCTGTGTTGCTCTCTGTTTTCCTTCACCATCTACACACACACAAACACACACACACACACACACACACACACACACACACACACAGGAAGCTCCTGCTTAATGGGAATGGCTTTAGGAAAGCATTGGAGGAAAACCCCTCTCCAATTCAATAGTTCCTGGCCTCTCGAAACACAGACACCCTTTCACCCTGCAGCAGAGTACTGCGGTACAGCAGTGTAGGTAGACCTGTGGTGTTTCTTTTATCCTGCCTGTGAGGCCAATAGTGGGAGGATCAGCCTGGGGTTATACGACTTTACTATCACTGAGACTGGCTGTGGGGGGTTATACCACTTTACTATCACTGAGACTGGCTGTGGGGGGTTATACCACTTTACTATCACTGAGACTGGCTGTGGGGGGTTATACCACTTTACTATCACTGAGACTGGCTGTGGGGGGTTATACCACTTTACTATCACTGAGACTGGCTGTGGGGGGTTATACCACTTTACTATCACTGAGACTGGCTGTGGGGGGTTATACCACTTTACTATCACTGAGATTGGCTGTGGGGGGTTATACCACTTTACTATCACTGAGACTGGCTGTGGGGGGTTATACCACTTTACTATCACTGAGACTGGCTGTGAGGGGTTAAACCACTTTACTATCACTGAGACTGGCTGTGGGGGGTTATACCACTTTACTATCACTGAGACTGGCTGTGGGGGGTTATACCACTTTACTATAACTGAGACTGGCTGTGGGGGGTTATACCACTTTACTATAACTGGGGGGGGGGGCTGCTATGGCACTATACTGGTGTGTACAACCCAGCAGGGAGATGAGCTCAGTTACTGCTGATCAATAAGACAGTCAGACATTAGAATATAGTCAACTCTACAGGGTTTCTCTCTCTGTCCCACTCCCTCTCTCTCATACACACACACACCAACCTCAAAGCATGTGCGCACACACACACACAAACAAACACAAACATGTCTGTGCTCTGCAGCAGCACAGGGGCAGACAGTGTTCTGACCTTAGCCACTCAAACTGAACACAGTCTCACCAGACCCTTCAGGAGCCATTTGGCAATCGATTTATCATCCTGAACGCTTGTTTAGTTTCCCTGATGTGCACTTTACTCTCTTTACCCCTAGTGAAGAGGACCAACGACACGAACGCACACATTTTGGAGTAGAATTGAGAAAATCTTTCACGCTCTTCTCTGGCTCCGCACTGTCTCCATGACAATGTGATCAGTTACCTTGGCAAAGCTGTCAGTTACTGTGACAATGTGATCGGTTACATTGGCAATGGCATGAGTTACCATGACGAAGTGATCAGTTATGGTGGCTATATGATAAGTCCATGTATAGGCTCGGGCTCACGGGAGTGTTTGATTGGCTGTGAGGTGGACTAATCCAGCTCCCCCATTGGCTTCTCCATACTTTCTTTCTGTTGTTTTAGTCAAATCCTGTTTTCCTCCTCAACTAGTCCTGACACACACAAACACACACACACACACGCACGCGCGTCACAGGGCTCCATTTAGAGCCGTGATTCTTCTGTCAGAATGTAGGCCGTCTCTTCTGTTTCCCCTAGTTGTTTTCCTAAATGTTAACCACGCTTTGCTAAATGAGAATGTGCACACAAGGGGCGCTTTTGGATGCACAAAACATTTTAGGCAACAGGGGTCTTGATCCAGGAGGTGATTTGAATTTCTCTGCTGTAACCAAGAAGCTTAATCTTGACATCGAGCCACTTAGCTAGCAAGTTAGCAAACCAAATGCATAGCTGGAGCCCTGAGCTGGATATAATTTATTTGACATATCTTAGATTTCTTATAGTTATACTTAACTTATAGTTCTTTTTTAAACAGTATTGAAAAATACCGTTTGTATTTCAAAATACCCCGGTATAAACGGTATATCACCCAAGCCTGCTGACTGCATAATGCTACTCATATGCATACTCTGCATACATGCAGTTTGCAGCTCCCTGTCTGCGATGGGACAGCATCTCTGACTGCACTGGGCCTCTGCTGAGCTGAGGATGACATGTGAAGAGCTAGAAAGGACTAGAGAGATGGAACGTGTGAGGCCCCAGTCTCGGCTCCAACGCTAGCCTTGGCCCAGCATAACCCCAGCACCAGAGCAGCACCAGACCCAGCATAACCCCAGACCCAGCATAACCCCAGCAGCAGACCCAGCATAACCCCAGCAGCAGCCCCAGCCCCTCTGGTAGGTGTGTTCTGGTCTTCTTCTCCAGGAACATAAAGAGCTTTTGGAAGGATAAATATTATATTCCTCCTGATTACATTTTCTCTTTGTCTCTCTGTAAAACGTAATAAGAGCAAACACATGTTAAGTCCTGCACATCACCAGGGAAGCTTCAGACTCAGCACTACACAATCTAATACCAGCTACTCATAACTCTCCCCCACCACACACACACACACACACACCTTCTTATTATGCTGATTCTCCGTAATGGAGCCGGAGCTCAGATTAATGATGGTTTGGGGAATTTAATACATTTTCTCATCAGTGTGTGTGTGTGTGTGTGCGTCCACATAGTTTGAGGAATGTGATATTAACGTTCTCTGGTTCTAGGCTGTGCTGGAATAAAAAGGGAGATGATGGTGTCCTACTTCCTGGAGAGAGAGAGAGATCTGGGGTGTCCACACCTACACTCTAGTCTACATACAGTACATTTTCATCATTTAGCAGACACTCTTATCCAGAGCGACTTACAGGAGAAATTAGGGTTAAGTGCCTTGCTCAAGGCCACATCGACAAATGTTTCACCTACTCGACTCAGGGAGTCGAACCAGCGACCTTTCGGTTACTGGTCCAACGCTCTTAACCACTAGGCTACCTGCCGCCTCCAGTACAGTATTCTGATCAGTATGCTGATTATTACTGGAACTAGCCCACATAGGCTGAGTCCAAAATGGCACCCTATTCCCTATATAGTGCACTGCTTTTGACCAGAGCCCTGCTCAAACCATAGTCAAAAGTAGGGCACTCTATAGGGAATTGGGTGCCATTTGGGAAGCAGATATACAGTATGGAATGAAGAGCTGGTCTTTGTAGCTGATACAGTATACATAGGATGAAATGTACATCATACCTGGGTCAGTAAAGGGTGTCCCCCTGCTATTTCTATCTTCTTCCACCCCCCCCTTCTCTGTCTCTCTCTCTCCTCTCTCTGTCCTCCTTTCCCCACACCCCTTCACTATCCGCCCAACCCCTCCTGGTGGTGTCTTGGTGCCTAGTGCTAGTGAAGTGTCTTCAGTGTTAATGGGGCTTGGCAGTAACAGCTCTCTTCATGCCACCCAGCCCTCCTCGCCCTTCCCCTCCTCCCCTGACCCTGTTATTGATAGCGTTACAATCACCACGGTGACGGGAGGTTCCCGCTTATCTGTGGATTAGGGAGGAGTCGTCCACCCAACTCTCCAGAGTCACACGCCACAGGGCTCAGAGTTTATCACAACCACCCTGACATAGCCTTCTTCCTTTTTATCTTGTCTTCTCTCTTTCTTGCTCTTTCTCTCTGTCTCACGTTATCTCTACCTCCCTCTTTCTCTCTCTTCTTTCCTTCTCCTTACTCTTCCTCTTCTTCTACTACCTGCAGTGACGGTTCCTCTCTCTCTCTCTCTCTCTCTCTCTCTCTCTCTCTCTCTCTCTCTCTCTCTCTCTCTCTCTCTCTCAATTCAATTCAATTTAAGTGCTTTATTGGCATGGGAAACATATGTTAACATTGCCAAAACAAGTGAAGTAGATCATAAACAAAAGTGAAATAATAATAATAAAAATTAACAGTAAACATTACACTCAGAAGTTCCAAAAGAATAAAGACATTT